AAACCACCTCCTTTGCTGGCAGAAAAACTGCAATGTAATTACCTTTGATTTTATGGAGAATATACACGCTTCCATTTTTTTATTTTTTATTTTTATAGCTGAAACAAAATGATCCCCATATACTCTCCCAGCTGCTGTCCAGGAAGAGTTTGAAGTTAGTGCCTAAAGAATTTTCTCTTTTACAATTTTTGGAATGTGTCCTGGCCACAAGATCTCTCATCAAAAGTTTCAGAAGTAGGATTCAATAAATTATCTGAAATCAAGTATAATATTATTCTTTGTAAAGTTTCATGCTGTTCCGGCCCAGCAGGATGGTAACATTTTGCTCTGTGTGAGGTCTGCAGTGTAAATACCCATTTGAAGATAGATAGAGCCATCATCCTGGCTTTGGTTTCAATGAACCAATAGTCTTACTGAAGTCAATTAAACTGACTCGGCCCAAGCTGCAACACTGTTTTAGACAGATATGTACTGCTGTGTGTGTGTGTGTGTGTGTGTGTGTGTGTGTAGGGGATTTTTTTTTTCTTGTCAGCCTATGTGTCTGTGTCTATACAGGTCCTTAACTTTATATCTGACAATGTCATCAATCTTAAGAAGAAATTTAAGCTAATTTCCTGTTTCGATTTTTAAAAGCCATATACGAAACCATCAAATTATAGAGGTTTAAACTAAATATACTTTGGGAATCATGTAAAACTTCGAAACACTATTACAGCATGCCTAGTAATGACTGTGGCTGTTGCTGACTAATTTATAACATCTGGCAGGTCATCCTTTAATCTTGAGCCACATAAAAGTAAAACCCATAGAAGAAAGGTAAGATAAATCCTGGAATACACAGTGAAGCGTGGCCTACAACTGTAGCTTATCAACAAGTAGTAAAATGGGTGACAGAGACCTTCTGTATTTCTCTTTATTTATCAAGTAACTAAACAAAGAGGATAGAAAGGCCCCCACATGGGTTTGATGTGCAGACAAAAGGAGAAAATACGTGACAGTATATTAAGATGTCACCTTAAGATCACTTGGTACCTAAAAAGTTATTTCTAAAAATCATATGCCTACAATGTTCTTCAGCTGTTGGGTAGAACACATGGGTCTGCGGACTATAGCGCTGGATTATGTCATTAAAGAGTTCAGTTTCAATTTTAGGCTAATATGTAAATAGATCATTGTACGAAGGCAGCTGTTAAAGGGATCCCAGGATGAGTTATTTGTTTAGTTGGATGTGTTCAACAATAGGCTTTGTCCCTGAAAGAGCCAGAGCAAACAAATGATTGTAAAAGGGCACACTTGAAAACAATTACTTTTCACCCATTCCTTGACAGCTTTGGCTGTGAAACCACCCAAGGTAGGAAGATCTTCTATGCTTCTGTGGCTACAAGTTAAGTTTTAGAAATGGGGGTATTTCACTTGGTAGCTGTTTCAATTCAGCTAGCAGAAATTAGATCCTTTTAGCAGGTTGTATTTAGGAGCTGCAAAAATATGAAGATAATAGAACTTCCTAAATCTTGGCAGTCGTTATTTATAACTAGTAATTAGCCATCTCATTGCAATATTCAAAGTGATTAAAATAACAAAACATTAAAATATATTTAAATAAAAAAACACAATGCCATGGCTACAGAATTGAACTCAATGCTAGTTCATTACATGAAAGAATATGTGTGAGTCTGGAAACTAGACTTATTGACACAGCTCAGCATGCTCAATACTCCTCCATAGTTTGCTACTATCTATCTGTGAAGTTTCTTTCCATAGGAAAAAGCTACTCCTATAGTTTCTTAAAAAGTTGCAGAAATCTTTCTGGGGAAAATACCCCCCCCCCCCAAACAAAAAAGCATCCTTTCAAAAAGCCATCATCTCTCCTGTCCACATATTATGAAATAAGACTCTAGCATATATACAAACCAGAAAAGCTTAGGGAAAGAAGGGAAGCAGTGATGTTTATTATAAAATAACATGTTTTAAAAATGATTAAAATTTGAGAGCTAGCATACGTCAAGAATGCATAGGCATAGTGATACCAAATCTGATTTGCACAATTTGAGTATTGTTGGTGTATCAACCACTTGTAATGAAACCAGCAAAGTCTAATGTACCAAATTTAATTCACACACACATTTCCCAAGTGAGTAGGGGTTTGTTGGGGATTGGGAGCACATAAAACGGAAAGGAATGTGGATAGCTAGTGTGGCAGATTGCTTCCTAAAGAATGATTTCTTAAAAAAAAAAAAAAAGCTTTATATAACTTCTCTTAAGGATTATAATTCCCATCAGCCCCCCCCTCCCCCCAACTCCAATCTCCACTACATTTAATTAAGAACAAAGTTTTCATTCTTCATGTTCATGTTTAGTATGGCAGGGGTCTGCAGGATCATGGGGGTACTCACAGTATATACACTGCACACAGGGAGACTTAATGGCAAATATTTCTAAACCTTCCTTTAAATTTCCTGCTTCTTTTGAGATCCTGGCAAAACCCTGCAGATGATGTGAATGTGATAGCTCTTCTGTCATTTAATTCAGTTACAACCCAGGAGCTTAATGACACTGTTTTTGAATAAAATGCTGCAATATCTGTTCCCTGACTCTCAGACCACTGCTGCATATGGTAAGAATAAAGAGCGAGAGGCAGCTGAAAACCTGCAGCAAGACAGTTCTCACTCATCTGGGAATAGAGGGAGTTGGACAAATGCTCCCTCAAAAGGCATGAACATTTGGACAGAGCTGGGGACTGAAAGAGAATGATGTTCTCTAGTTTCACCCATTAGTGAACCAACTAACAAACACAATGGTGTTGTTGTTATTCTTTTGCCATAAGCAACAGGACTCTGTGTGTGGGCAGCAGTTTAGTGGGGAGGAGGATAAGTCGACCCCTTTTTGTCCTATTGATTTTTTCCTATTTGCATGACTTGAGCAAATTAAATGATGCAATATGGCTTTTTGTTACAAAACAAAGTGAGAGATACCACCCAGACACATATGTTGATTCGTCGGAGCTGTTTACATGAGAATAGAGTGAAATCTACCGTGAACTGAGCATAAAAATTAGATTCAGCCTGGGTATTTTTTTTAAAATTATTATCATGCCTGGGCCAGCAAGACTGAAGCAGAAGTTTTCCAAGAGTCTCTCAGACCTTGACAACTACAGTGTTGTAACAGAGGAATTCTTAATTAAACCTCAAATGGGGAAAGGGCGGGGGAAGGGGGGAAAGGGCGGGGGGAAGGGGGCAAAGACACCTGATTGTTTATTTCACGCCCAGTGATGGCTAAAGACGTGGTCCCCCAGGCTTTCTACGGAGGACAGCAGACCGCACACATCACTGCATCCCATGGCACGTGAGATGTTGCAAACTCCAAAATAAGCCAATGTTTCCAATCAGCCAGCACCCTTTGCATATTTGTTTCAACTTATCAACAAGAGGAAAATATATAAACGCCCTTGCTCCTGACACGTTTCTGGAGGAGATCTTCCCAGGCAACTCAATACCAGGGGGAAAAAACAAAACAAAACAAAACAAAAAAAACCTGAACTGATAATATGACAAAGCATTACCAACAGGCATGGAGAACTGTCTCCGTGCTAGGTGACAACTACGCCCCAGCAAAAATCTCTCGCCAGTGTCTCCGGGTTCTCCCCGGGAGGACCAGGACTTCCCTTTTCGCTCCTGAAGGACTGTAACGCTAGACAACCCCCTCTGACGGGCTGGGGATCATAAACCAACCATGCTTCACCATCCTTGACGGTGCAGCCCTCTCTCCCTTCGCCGAGCACGTGGAGAAAGCTTGCACAGATCTTTTTCACTCCAGAAAAAAAAAGAAGAAAAAAAAAAAAACCCGGAAACCACAGCCACCTTCATTTACAGTTTCACCGCAGCCAGTGCCCATTGGATCCAACACACGCTGTTCATCGCGACTCTTTTTTCAAACTGTTTACCCAGCCCCGGAGGAAGGTACCACAGAAGCGCCTCTTTTCCGAGGCAAGCGGCTTTGCACAGCATCCCAACCGACCGACTGACCGACCGACCGCGGGCTCCTGGGGGGCGCGGGCGAGGTCTCTGTGCACCACACCCCGGAGCAACACACCGCGCAATCACGCCAGCGCTTTTTTAGAAAAGTTACCCCCCAAAAGAACTCCCCCAAACACAAACGTCCGCCTTCTTCCAGCCACCAGCCAGCAACTGCCCCGGAGGGAGCCGCAGGGGAGCCCACCCAGCCAGGTGGCCAGCCTCCCTGCGGTGCCTACCTTGTGATCCAGGCGCCCCAGCCCCGGGCTGTCACTCCGCAGGCAGCAGGACAGCCGCGGGTAGAAGCCCCCGCACAGCAGCTCTCCCCCGCTCAGCAGCTCCTGTTGGGACATCATCCGCCTGTCCCTCCTCTTCAGGCGCTTCGGGGGGCTCCCATTCAGGCACCTTCTCCTCCGCACGCCGCTCACCGCCTCGCTTCTCTCCCCAAACTTAGCATCTCCTTCGAAGAAGCCCAGGGCCACGGCCAGCAGCAGCAGCTTGAATGAGAGCATCTTCAGCATCGTCTGCCCGGAGGAGCGGCCGGGGCTGGGCGCGGGCGGCCGGGGGGCTGCAGGGGGGGCGGGAGTCCCAACTGCCCGGCAGGGGCTCTAGGGCGCAGCTCCGGGAGGAGGCTGCGGGGCGGCGGGGCGCGCTCGAGGCAGAGGGAGGTGGCGGGGGGCGATGCAACTTTGCAAGAAACGGAAGGCCAGGAGGCGAGGGTGGGTCCAGAGCCTTGGGGGAGCCCGGGGCGCGGGGGAAAGTTGTGCGGATGACACCGGGTGCCGCTGCGCCAGTGTCAGTGGGGTCAGGCGCGCTCTGCCGCGGCAGGGCAGCGGGAGGAGGAGAAGGAGTCGGAGGAAGAAGAGGAGGAGGAGGAGAAGCCGGCCACGGAGGCTCCCGGATCGGTGTAACGGGAGCGGTGTAGGTGAGACAGGGGCCGGAGCGGCGGTGGCGGCGGCGGCGGCGGGGCGGGCGGACGCGGGGCCGGCGCGGGGCTCCGGGGGATGCTGAGGTCTCCTCTGCCGGCGGCTGCAGCTTCTCACACAGCCTCTCATGTTTCGTTCCCTCTTTTCTTCTTCTTTTTAACTAGCGCGCGGGGAGGTGCTGCCACCGCGCGCCCCTTGACGTCACCGCCTCTTGCGCGCCTCCGCCCGGGCGGGGGGCGGGGAGGGGCGGCCCCGGCCCCGCGGCCTCCGGGTGCGCGGAGAGGGCGGGGGGCCGCGGCGGAGGTGGGGTGGGGGGCCCCGGCAGAGCTCCGGGAGCCAGCCTCCAGGGCGCGGAACCTAGCGCACCCGCCGACGCCGGAGCTCGAGGTGGGGGCGCCCCCGGCCCAGCCCGATCCTCCGATCCGGGGGCTCGATCGCGGCCCCGAGAGTCCCCGCCGGCTCCTTTCTCCGGGCCGCGGCCCCACCGCGCGACCCCGGGCGAAGGCGGCCGAGCCGGGGCTCCGAGAGACAGTGAGTAGGAGGGGGCCGCCGCGGGAGGTGAGAAGGGAGGGCCCCTCTCGGAGCCTCCCCGCCCGGGGCCCGGCCCGGCCCGCCCCTCGCCCCAGAGGAGGATGAGCTGAGGAGCTGGGGGCGGTGGGAGGGAGCCTCCTGGCCCCTGTCCTCTCCGGGCCTCGCACGGACATCCCTGTCCCCCCCGGATCATTTTCCATGTGAAGCTGCAGTCGGTAAAGATGTTCCTTGGAGTCTGATTGCCAGGTGCTGCGAGCCACCGGGCTGAGCGGGTTTGCAGACTGTCCCGAGCCCATCCTCGCCAAGGAAGGAGCGCGCGCGCGAGGTGGGGTGGGCCGGGGTGCACGGCGGAGGCCGCCCGCGGGAGGGGTGCCCACCTGGGCGGGCGGGCCCGGGACGCCCCGGGAGGGCCCCACCTGTGCCCTGGAACTCTGCCAGGCCCCTCGGGCGATCCCCGGAACGCAGGCAGGCACGCAGGTTCCCCAGCCCCAGGTGAAGGGGAGGCGAAGAAACTGGCCGTGAATCAGCTTCATTTTCAATGACAATAATAGTAATAGTAATAATAATAATAATAATAATAATAAACTCTTGGGGAGAGTTCCCAGCACCGAGGCATTAGTTTTGAAGATGAATTCCTAGCAGGTTCGCTGATGTCTAGCAGTGGGACGCCCTATATGTCAATGAAACTTTCCCCAGTTAAGAGTCTGCCTAAAGAAAGAGTTTCTAAAAAGATCTGTATACTATCAAGAGTGGTGACTTGACATTTGCAGGATCCCTGCAAGTTGGCATTATAGGCATTGCACACAAAAAGTGTGCTCTCTGCTGCTTGAGTATTTATTTAAGAGGGGAGAGAATTTTCCGGTAGATGGATCTTGAAGAGGAGATAGAGTAGTTTTCCCATTTTGGCAATGGAGGAAATGTTTGCCATATTTGGATTTGCTTCACTTCTGGGACATAGATTTCATGGAACTAACATGAAAATTGGTAATGGTGGAAATGGATAACCCATGGAACTAATTATTGTTAGTTAAAGTCGGTGCTGGGCTAGGTAAGGCTTCTCTGTCCCTTTCACTTCCTGGGTCCAGATTTAGGAGTGGAGCTGCCCTTCCCCCTCCCCCCCCCCCCCCCCCCCCCCCCCCCCACACACACACGAGGCAACGGATTGCAATCTCTGAAAAGATTCTATCGGAATATTTGGTCCAGTCCTGAACTCAGTGTGAGGCCCCTATAACAAACTACCCTTTCTCCCAGGGCCTGTTGGACAGCATGACTCTAGTATGCATGTGATCCCAAATGTGTCTTCTGATCCACAGTGCTTTATCTGACATTTTTCCTGCTTTAGGGGTTTCTAATATAAAATAAAGCATACAGTTATAAAACTTTAAACTATTATTTAACAAATAGATCTGGAGATGAATCCCATCAAGATTTGAATCACACAATCTCAACTGATTAAGTTGTTTAAAAGCCAGAACCCAGGGGCCTAATCTAGGTTGCATTCCACTATACCCAAATATCAGCTTAGTCGGGTTTCTTTTTCTCTTTCTTTTTTCAAAATAAAAATCTTTCTAAATTTATATTTCAGTGGTTTGAGCTCTTGCTCTAAGGTATGAATCCATCTTAGTAGTTTCAAAACAGGCCTTCCTTCTGGTTGTACTTAGAGACGAAGGACACTTAAAGGTAAATTAATTTTGGCTTTAAAAAAATGATGAAGCTGTTATAACCCATGACCCTAAGTTTCAAGAGAGAGCTTGGAAAGAATTACAGAAATGAGACCATCAGGACAGTCATTGGGCCAATGATGAGTAGCGGAGCTTATTCTCAGCGCCACTGATAAAATTTCCATATAGTCGCTAAGCAGAGGTATACACACGAACTAACTTCTAATTCTTGATTTTGCAGAGGGAAATTGCAAAGTTCACCTATAGTCAGATTGACAGCATAATTGTCTAGGAATCAAGAATCAACACTGGTTATTTTCTAAGATTAAACCTTGAAAGCCCACTTGGAGGCTGCACAGCCTTCTGCACACTTGAACATGAAGAATGGCCTTCTTCAGCTAAATGATCAGAAGTGGAGAGAAGAAGAAGAAGGGACCCCCTACCCGGCCAGACTCCTCCAGACAAATTAAATCGGTCTTTGTAAAAAGCAAGCTGCATGAGGATGGCCAGATCACGATGTTCTGCTCGCACCAGCACTGAGCAGCCCCAGCCAGGACTGCCTGCCACCTGTATGCAGGTGGTGCCGTGAACAAGGGTACCTGGCTGAGGCAGCCAATGGGAGCTGACATCCTGCTGAGCTCCACTCACCAAGCAGACTGGACTGGTGCATGGCCCAGACAATGCGGCTCCTTCAGATTTGCACCAAGGCACCCTGTACGGGATAGGAACAACTAGGACCATCCCACCCCATACACCAGTCCTAGCCAGGATTATATTCCTGACTTCAGATAGCTTAAAGGGTCATGAACATTTTAGGATTATTGTAAAAGATGAAATATTTGATTCAATTGAATACATAAAGCTCCAAATAGTACCATGTATATGAATTATGTGTGAAATTTCTATGTATCAGAGGTTAGCACAACTTAAATTTGGTAAATGTTTAAAATAAAATTACTTGGGTTATTGCAATCAGTGTTGTATATGGATTTTTGGACTTCATAGAAATTTGCAGTATTTCATTCCATTTCTACAAATTTATATTAAGTGTCAAAGACTGTGCTAAGCAATCTATATGCAGTAATAAAAAAAAAATACAAACACCCTGCCTGTGGATAGTTAATAATCTAGTAAGGAAGTCAGATGATAAGGTCACAAATTTATGTTTATTACTTGTGGTCAGAGTTATGAAAAAATGCCAAGATAAAGAATATCAAGGCACACTTATTTCAGATTAAGTGACTAGAAAAAGCCTCTCTGTGAAAATGAAATTTCAGCAGAGACCTGAGAAGCGTCAGAAGGAGTTTATGAAGTGACTCCACTTCTGCCATTTAGAGTACAGAAACATTAAAATTCAAAATAGAATGTGATACATTGAAGGGAAAGCACAGAATACAGTTAATAACTAAGAAAGGAGAGGCTACAGGCCAAGGTCATAGTGTGGATTATAGACTAGGTAACTAATAAAGTTATATTCATGTATTTGTCATTTCCTTTTGCAAGTACTCTTTCTTCCTTTCTACCTTATCCTTATAGATTTTTAAGTTCTGGATTTTTCACTCAATTTCTAGGAGTTATTCAAGTTCAAATTGCATTACAGCCATTGCATCTCATCTAACCAGCACTTATGTTCTATATTTTCATTTGTGCGTTGTTGATGACTCAGATTTTTTTTATACATGGGAGTCGAATACCTATGAGATGGTCAGCTCCACCAAAACAGGAATGGCATTTCCTTCTTTGGTGAACCCAGAAAAGAGTTTAAATCAGTCTCATCCTACAGTGCCAGCCTCCCAGTAACTGCTGCTGACTGGCCAATCTTGTTTGACTTAACACTTTTCAAAGGTTTAAAATGGAGGAAATGTTTGCATTATGACATTTTAAATTGTTAAAGAGGAAGGGAGACACACCATACATTATCACTAAGGAATTTCAGGAGACATTGCTATCAAGCGTGATTCTGCAGAGGAAGGGCAGCAAACAAAATTAAAAATTAGATACTGGTAGTAATTCAAACAGTGACACAACATTAGGGCTGCTGGTAGGGTGTTTTTTTTTGTTGTTGTTTGTTTGTTTTTCTAGTTATTCATTGTCTTTCAAAAGTTGGTATCTGCTGAGTGCCAGACCCTGCTCTGGGCACTGGGGACAAAGCGGTGAGCAAAACTTGTCTCGTGGAACCACATGCTACTGGGGAAGAAAAGTCACAGACAGTCTGCCAGAGATGAGTGCTACGAAGAAAAGAGGTCATGGAGCAGGAGAGTGTGGGGGTTGGGAGAAAACATTTTATATATAGTTATTACAGTTACACACTGGTTAACACTGGGGATATGTTCTGAAAAATGTGTTGTGTGCGTGTACATAGAGTGCATTTGTGCAAGGCGAGAAAGAATAGCCTACTACACACCTGGGCTAAACAGTCTGGCCTGCTGCTCCTAGGCGACAAGCCTCTGCAGCATGTCACTGTACAAAAGAACATGAGCTTCAATCAAGCATGAGAGAAAATGACACAACCAAGAGAAGGCATAAACGCCAGATAAATAAAGTTGTTGCCACCATCACACAGGAAATTTTTTTTTTCTAAGAAAGAGTGTATCATAGGAAGCAGTAACACAGTTGTTGGTCATTATCAAGTATCAAGGGCTGCTGATGACTGTACATGCTGTACTCTTAAAGAACTGTCAGTGCAGTAGGTTGTATACACCAGTGACACCACAGACACGTGGCTAATACCTTGTGCTGTGACAGACATTATGACATTACCATGGCTAGGATGTCACTAGATGGTAGGAATGTTTCAGCTGTTATGATCATACTGGACCGCCATTGTATGTGCGGTCAGTCATTAACTGAACCGTCGACATGCAGTACATGACCGCACATTGTCAGGAAACGTGTTGCCAGGACAGGTGTTGCCAGAGGTATGGGCACAGACTACTAGAGCATGGGAATTAGGGCCGAAACTGGAAGCAGCAGGCTACCTGCTTTCGGATATGGGCAAGCACAGGGAAGAGCAAGTCAAAGACCACGAAGCAAACATGCTTGTCATGTTTACAGGTTGGTAAAGAGACCCATGTGGCTGGAGCAGAGTGGGTGACAGAGGACATGACAAGAAATGAGGACAAAGAAGGACCCAGGGGCATGGCTAGCATAGAATCTTGTAAGCTATATTGTGGACTTTGGCTTTTCCTGTGAATGAAACGATGATCACTCCAGGGGTCTTGTCAGAGATAAAGAGACTGCTATTTCCTGTTTCCACAGAGCAAATTAATTAAGTAGAGGAATTGGGCTAAATGGGTGTCGGGAAACTGAAAAAGCAAAAGGAGAACGATGAAGTACAATGGTAACCACAGGGAGCAGCCCCCACCCCTGGGCGCTGAGGAACAAGGGCTCATAGGAGCTGATAGGAGAGCCCTCGTGGGTCTGAAGAGATGAGGCTGCTCCCCCACTGGTGCAAATACCCCCAAGCTGACGGAACAAGTTGATTCTGGGAGTGCTGGAAGAAAACTCGAGACTGGACAACTGCCACTGTTGGCATGTGTGTGTCCTCAGTGGCCATAAACTAGGTGGCTTAAAGCAACGGGGATGTATTCTCTCACAGCACTGGAGGCCAGAGCCTGAAATCAAAACGTGGCCAGGGCTGTGTTCTTCTGAGGAACGTGAGGGAGAATCTGCTCACACTGATCGCGTCAGGGGGTTCCTCTCCTTGTTTTGTAGATAGTGTTCTCACTAACTTCTTCATATTCCCTCTGTGCAGGCCTGTCTCTGCGCCTGTACTTCCTCTTGTTATGAGGACATCAGTCACAGTGTATTAAGATCCACTTCATTTATAACTCCATCATCTGCCAAGACCTTAATTTAAAATAAGGTCACATTCATTGGTACTGGGGGTTAGAACTTTGACACCTATTTATGGGGAGGAACACAATTTAATTCATGACAAAAATAAGGTCTCATTGCCAGGTGGTGAGGACAGCAGAGCAGGTAAAAAGGAAGAAGCAGTCCCCTCGCTCATCCTTGCCTTCCCGCCTCCCTCTTGTTCCCTGACTTAGGGCAGACTGTCAATAAGCAGAGCCCAGGCCAGAGAACCTTAGCAAGCAATTTATTGAAGGAAGCTACTACGTCAGGCTGAAGCTAGAGAGGTAAGCGGAGCCTGGCTTCAGCCTGATCCCATGGGGCCTCCAGAACATGGATTGCACCATAAAATAGGCCCTAACAGGCTCAGTCACCAAGTCAGTGGGGATACATAACTTCGTGTAATCTTCACCCTCACAAAGCAGTCGGGCAGGAGTTTCAGCCATTTTCCACGTTTGCCCTTCGTTATGAGCAGCGATCCTAATTACCTTTCCCCTCTCACACCAAGCCCATATGTGAGAGCTCTGTCCACCATCTCTTTGTCCAGAGCCAGGCCCCGGTCTTCTTCTCAGCTCTGCCATTCCCGTGGGGAACCCGGGCTCTCAGAATGTTTTTTAACTTGTGCTCCAACAGCAACAGTTCCTTCTTTTGTTTATGCTAGGCAGTGTGTTAAACTTATTTAGAAAACACACAAGAAATCCCTTCTTCTACATTTTTGCCTAGAGGGTAACACCTGGCTGCTGTGTGTTCTGAACGTAAGGATGGGGAAATCGGCAGCAGGCTTCTCAATAAACGCTTCTGTTTCCAGCCCTGTGCTGTGCGCTGCTGCCCATCACACCTGGCACGGCTGAGCCTATAACCCCTTCCAGCTTCGGAACGGTAGAATGGCGCCCTCCTCAGCGGCAGCCTCTTCGTATTTATTCTGGGTTTTGTCTTTTCCTCATCTGCTTCACTCCTCCACTCGCCTCCCCTCTTCTAGATCTGCGTTGAAATCGTTTATCTATTGGTAAACTCCCTCATGTTTTTCTCACTGTTGTCTGTCTACTTACCCCTCCCCTATTAACTGGTAGATTCCTATTTTAATGGGGTCTGAGGAATGAGAGAAGATAAATTTATGTGCTCAGTTTATAACCTTGAACTGGCACCAAACTGGTTGGAAAATAATGATCTTGTTTTTATTCATCTTTTTTTTTTTAAATGTACGTATAGCTCACCTTTATTTCACTGTTTAATATTAGAAGTGTGTTGGGTCTTTATTTACAAGTTTGGTGATGTTTTGTGATTAAAAAAAAAATATGCTGTAGGAGCCTAACTCTTGTTTATATCTTATTAGTCCATGGGAAAATTGATTTGTTTATACATGGTTTCACTTAAAGTCATAGTTTCCAAGAACCTATTAACGATGTTAAGTGAGGACTTAATGTATATTGTGAAGTGATTACCACAATCACACATCCATCATCACACATAGTTACCTTTTTGTTTTGGTGTCATGAGCAAAGTTGTATTTTAAAATGTATTGATTATAAATTTTCCCAAATATATATATATATATAGTTTGGTTAGCTTGTGTTGCCTTTTCAAGCTTCCTTTCATGATATTTACTCTTAAAGTTACTATGTTGATGTAAATAACTGTTTTAACTCATTAAATCATATGAAATAGAATTGTAATTCTGTAATTAATTTTATTCTGTTTATATTTAATTTCTTCATAATTCATTATAATTATTTTGCTATATATAATTCATTATAAAATAACTTTTAGAGACTACATGTTAATTATGCTTTAATTCTTATACTTTACATATTATATTTACTTATTGAACTGCATACAATTTTATTGCTAGGTATAAATTCCCTAAGTGCAGCAGCACCAATTAGCAGATGGCATTTTCCTGGTTTCTTGACAAATAGCTGGCTTTTACTGAGTATCTACAATTACTCCTAATTGTGTCTGATTCACGATGGAATGATGGAATCATTTCTTTTTTAAAAAAAAAATATTTTATTGATTTTTCACAGAGAGGAAGAGAAAGGGATAGAGAGTTAGAAACATCGATGAGAGAGAATCATCGATCAGCTGCCTCTTGCACACCCCCTACTGGGGATGCGCCCGCA